TTTACACATGAAAAAGTTTATATACAATTGAGGCTCTAAACAATCAAATTAGAGCCTACCTCAAAACTTTCACTAGAAGAGGTTGTTGTGATGCCCAAATATCCTCAAATTGATCATCTCGACATCATGATGCATGGACATGAGGAAAAAAATAGATTTCAAGTTTTAGAAATAGTGCATCTTGTAATGCATTTTCTGACTGTCAATTTTCAAGTTTTCATAGATCTACTAGATTTACACTATTTTTTAAGCTTTAAATTTTATAATTAAAGATAAAAATATATTTTAAGTCTATCACTAAGATTTCCAGTATTAAAACCACATTTCTCTACACTATTTGAAGGTGCCCTTTACTTTGATTGTTTAGAACCTAGGTTCCATACAAATCGCACCCTTTATACATTGAAACAATTCTGCCATTCTTGTTTTTTTACTTTGAAAAGTCAAACCAATTTTTTTATAATGAATGATCCTCCAGTTGTGATAGATTCAGAACGTTTGCCCACGTTTAAGAACATGAAAAATTTCATAAATAATAGGGGACAGAAATAGAGAAACATTGGAAGTTTCTGAAACTTCGGGCCATGATTATCTTAATGAATCCCTAGAATTTTTTACTAAAAATGCATTTCTAAGATGGTTTAAGAGAGGGGCCCACACACGTATAGTATGAGTAGACTGACTCATAAAACCCATCCTTACAAAATGGAAAAGTCCTTCATGAGTGAGTGGGTGAAAGAGCCCTCACCAACGTCCCTATTTAAGATGGAAATTGTAAAAAAAATTTACAGTGTAGGAATTTTTACAAAAAAAGTCACATTTTAAATATCAACTTTTGTTTCATGTTCATGATTATCTTAACTTAGATCATGAATCCCTAAAATTTTAGATTAAAAATCTATTTCTAAAATAGTTTAAGAGGGGCCCGCATATGTATAGTATGAGTCGGCTTACTCATAGAAACCCCATCCTCAATAAACTAAGTACTAAGACGAGACACTAGAGTTGCAATATGCACAAAGAATGTTTGGTAAAGTAGCACTTAACAAAGCTGTTGGTAGCAAAAAGAGGGAGGGAGAGATCTGCACATCCTCGAAGCTCCTTAGGCTGGGACTTGGAAGTGCATTCCTTACAATGATTTAATTAATAAAACAATTTAAAATAATGATTTTTCAAAAAAAATAAATCTAGTAATCCCATAAAATATAGTCAAAAGGGGGAAAATAAGCAACAAAAATCAATTATCTATTGATTATATTTTGTTCAATTAATGAACAATATTTTATACTCTTCTGAAATGTAGTTTATGTAATAAAAATCTCGAACATAGAAAAAAATTATGATGAGGCACATTGTATACTATGATAGCATTTATTTTTGGTACAACAAGTTCACAATCACTTTTTGCTATTGGATATGAAATCCAAGAGATAAAAGTGTATCATAACATTTGAGAAATTTTGTTTTAGACTTTGTGCCTAAACAACGATACATCCTCAACCACTCAATTTCAAATCTAATGGTGAATGATAACAGTGTCATCTTTGTATCAAAAGTAAATGGTTTCGTCGTATATATCTTTAATTTTTTATTGATAAAATTTGCTTTATTAGATTTTCGAATTCTACAACCTCTAAAAGTATATCAAACTACTTTATTTGCAATTTTACACTTTTATAACCTCAAAAGCATTAAAGAGAGAGGGAGTATGAAATGAATCATTTTCTTAGCCTCTTGTTGCCCCTTCGAGGGGCTAAGACTGATCCCTAAAAAGGGGGGATTGATATAAAAATCGTGATCCCATGAGATCCCTATCGTAGAGTACCATTGCAGATCTTGGAGCCAGATCGACATCCAAGTTGTCAGATCTCGGGTAACTATGGTACTTGTGACTAGAGCCGGTCTAGTTGGTATCATAGCCAAAGGATAAAATGTAATATGAGCCCTTGCCAGATGATGCAGTGGGATGTAGCCATAATTGGCTTTGATTTACAAGATTTTTAAGAGAATTGAAAAGACCATCCATACATAGGGTTGGTTCAACAATTTAATTCGTTTGACGAGTTGAATATAGGGGTTCTCAGTGGACAAATGCATTTTTCATCGGAGACCTAATAATATATTCTTCCCTTGATCATTCCCGACTAATGTCTTCAACTGATATTGAGTTTAACCAGTTTTCAATTTTGTAAGCAGGCCAAGATTGACCAAGATTTGGAACTAGGCATTTTCCTTGTTTAAATCCACAATTAACTAAGTTTTCTGCCTTCAGTTGTAACACCTAGATCAAATGATAAGAACAAAGACCAGATTCAGAAGATTCTTTTTTGCTACATTAAATTGATTTTGTTCTATGGTACATTTTTTACTGGTTTAAGTACTAATGCTTGTGTACAAGCAAAATATGTGCCCTTGAAGTGGAAGTGCATAAAACACAGGCTGCGTATCCCATACTAGGCAGAGACATATCATGCTCCATCCATTATGGACATAAAACTTAAAGGATTGCCTACAAAGAGACCATTTATTTTTTGTACATGGAGGTTACAATCATTCACACTCATTAGATGTTAAATTGGATGGCTTGGGGTAAGTAACGAAGTCCAAGAATTGTTTTTTAGAACTTCTGTCTATTCAATGACACTTTTACAACCACCCATTTTGAAATTTAAGAACACGAATGATTGTGACCTCAATGTACAAAAGATAAATGGTCTCTTGTAGATAGTCCCAAAACTTAAACTTATCTACGCCGTCCATTAAGGACAGATGATGGATGTCTGGAACTGTATGGAGCAGTAGTTAAGACTTGTGTATGTTATGCTTTTCGAGTTTCGCTTCCTTGATTAACTTTGTCCTGATTGTGGGACAGATAACATAGCAAACATTAGTTTAATTTCGCTGTCATGAATTCATGATCTAATCTAAGAGAACCCCGCATTTTCTTATCAAGAGAAGGATCCTTATAGTCTACATTTTTTATTAGCAGAAAACACAATTCCATGTGATTCAGAATGCAATCCTAAATCTTGATTATGAGTAGAAAGCAGTAGCTCATAATACAAAGATTAGAGGCAGAAGAAGTTTTTTTTTACTATTTTAAAACATAGAATTGTGTCCAAGACTCAATATATGATCTTTTTGATGACTTATTCTTGGACCATTTGAATGCATCAAGTGATTGGATGATTTGAAACTGTTTATCGAAACAAAAAAAAAAACCAGTTGACCTTCAAGTCAATCTAGTGCTGAGAACTACCTGAATTTGTTAACTGCATCAGAACATATAAACTCAGTCATACCCATTCAAGAACCTATTGCATTGCAGTGAAAAAAAAAAAATACTGTACCCTCAAAATACAAAAAAAGAAAATAAACCATGTATGTTTCCCCCATAATTCAGACATGTTTTTATCAAGGAAAAAGTTTATATAAGGATGCTATCTTATAATATAGAACTACGGATGCTCCTCAAAAATCCATCCAAAAAGGTAGTTTTAATGTTGAAAAACCTTTTGATTGGTCATCTCGACATCGAGATGTACGACAATGAAGATGTTGAAAAACCTTTTGATTGATCATCTCGACATCGAGATGTAAGACTATGAAGAATAAAAAGATTTTAAGTCTAAAAAATAGTGCATTTTACAACATATTATCCACACTGTCCATTTTCAAGATTTTCATATGTTTATAGATCTACTTGACTTTAATCATTTTTGAAATTTAAAATTTTATAATTAGATATAAAAATAGATTTTGAGATAAACCTAAGAACATTTTACATCAAAATTATATACTAGGATAAAATTGAAGGTACAACCTACCTCAACACCTACCGATGCATCCGTATGTAAACTAGACCCTTTTATCAAACTTCTACTAGTTTTGTTACATAATTTTGGAATATGTATACTATGTTCCAGCGGGAGCACATACTGTATACTTACTCCCTTGGCCAAATGAATAACTTAGGAAAAATATTTTGATTTGAAATGTTAGGAACTACTTAAACATAACTATATAATTATATTCAAAAGAAAAATTGAATTTTGAGTTTTTTAATGCCTAGATGTCATCCTTCAAATGTTAGACGATTGTTATTCAATCTTGAGGCATTAATTTTTCCATGCTCATAGGGAATACAATTTAGAAAGTTTTAATTAGGTATAGTATAGGGGTTGAGGAGGCTACATCACCAAAATTTGGAGTCAATACCTCTATATTAGGTTTTCCCCAAAGAGTAAATGGACAACATGCTACCTTGAGAGCATGAAATCTTAAAGATAGAATAAGGTTTTTCATAATTGTGTGTTTTGTATCAAACTGAGGCTCTAAACAATTTAAGTAAGGCATACCTCTAAATAGTATCGAAAGAAGATTTTTCAATAGCAAATTTATTTTGTGATGGCTTGAAATTTATTTTCATGTTTAATTATAAAATTTAAAGTTGCAAAAATAGTGTAGATTGAGCAAATCTATAGACACTTGAAAATATTTGTGAGAACTTAAGTATGACTCTAATAAGTGATAAGATGAGATAAAGTAGACTTAGATTGATTAGCCATATGCATCGCATGCGTTGTATAACACCTGTTAGAAGGTGCGAGTTAGCTCAAGTGGAAGGCTAACAAGAACAAAGACAGGGCAAAAAGACATGGTTGAAATTAGTGAGAAAAAATATGAAGACCTAGATTTGCGTAGCCGACTCAAATAGTTGAGAAAAGCTTTGATGATGATGATTCACTATTTCTCATATTTGAAATCTTTTTTTTTTACTTCTATATATAACAAGATCATGATAATCTATTGGAGGGTTTTTTAACATCAAAAGAACCTCTTCCGATGAAAGTTTTTTTAAACTCCACGCAACTTTTAGTGAATTTTTGAAGTGAGGTTAATTTGATTGTTTAGAGCTTGGCCTTATATAAATCTTTTTCTTTTCATAAAGTACCCAACACATTTGGTCCCATAAATCTTTTCACAACAATTGACATCTAATAATATTCCGGCCTATAACCACGTGAGAAAATATTTTGACGAAATCATTTTCTAGAAAATAGTTTCATACAACCAAACTTGTGGATGGTGTGTTGATCTCCGACCTTGGTTTCTCTCTCTGCAAGTTAAATTGATGACTCCATTACGGTGATCTCGACACCCCTCTGTGTCTCTCTGCAAGTTAATTGATCACTCCATTATTGTAATCTCGGTGGCCGTAATTTTTGAAGCGGATCTCTTCCGCACCGGTTCTGTGAGAATTATTGTATTTACTGGGTTGATATGCAAAATCCATGAAGAAAGAGAGTGAGGGTTCTACTTCCTCAGATCGTGATGGGGCAGAAGAGGAAACGGAGGCTGTGGAATTAGTGTTGTTTCATGTGAGCGAGTGCTATGTATATCTGGTATTCGACCACTATCCTTCCTTTCCCTTTCCAAATTTTTCTGCTGTGGTCTTATGCGTTGAAAATTTCATCTATGATTTAATGGGTAATTGCGGTTTTATGCATTGAATTTTTCATGTATGATTTCATGGGTAATTAAATGAAGTAGTATTTGGTTATTGATATATAATATTGCAACTTTAATTATTTGGTAATTCTGTGCCTTACCGTAACCTTTTATTTTTTAGAAAAAAGAAAAAGAAACGAACCCATGAATTGAATTTTCTATATATATCTCATTATGTTTCTTGTCTAATTAGGGATGAATTTGGTTGTGTTTTTCGTAAGATGGTTTTAGGACTAGTTGCATATATTCTCCGTAAATCGATTTGTTATTATAGAGCTCCTAAAGTGGAAACTTGAAAATGAAAGTCTCCAATTTGGGCAGTTCAGAGCGAGTTTGCAACTCGATTGAATTTCATCTCGTTTGGAGTTCGCTTTGATATAGACGAAAGCTTTTCAAGTCTGAAAATGGCATGCTGTGCAGTCTTACCTATTATTTGTAGGGGGATTTTATGAATCTTGGGGCATTGATATAGAGAATAGATCCTTTTGAAGTTATATTTTTTTTATTTCGTACTGCTAACCTCGCTAAACTGCGATAAACAGTTAACCAATAATCAATTAGTTGGTTGGGTCACTAACCAAGGAATGGCCAGTTAATGGCTGGAAAATTTTAATATGCTGAGACATGATTTAGCTAATCCAGGATTACATGACTAAGAAGCGAATACCATGTTAGTTGGTTTACATGAGAAGGCTGAGCTCTGAGCTAGAGCACTTGCTTCGTTGGTTTCTAAAAAATTAAGGATTTGTAGCATGTGCTCACTGGATTTTCAATAACATCAATGTAGATATTAATATATTTGATCTTGAGACGGATAGAGGCCTAGACAAGTGAGATGTGTATCCCAACCATTAGAGGAACCAAAAGAAAAGAAAAAGTGAGTTATGAAGCCCATTCAAGCAATGAGTAGTTGATAGGCAGTGTATGAATTTGTTGACTGGTCATACATGTTGGGGCTCTTTTGTAAACGGCTTATATTGAGGTGTATAAAGGCCTTGCCCATTGGGAATTTCTTGAATGGTTTTGCTTGCTATGTCTGGTCTTGGTTCTCTGATATTTTATAGAACACTTCAGCTTTTATTTTTATTTTTCTTACTTCATAATGAAGACAATGTCGTACTCTTATTTAATTTTATTTGTTAAGGTACATCAATTCTTTGTGTTTTGGTTGCAGATACCGCCAAGGAAGAGTGCAGCTTCTTACAGGTTCATTCAGCACTTCCAACTTTGATGGCACAGTTTTCATGCATATTTGGGTTTCTTAATCTTGTATGAGCGTGGAATAATACACTAGGTTTTTCCTCGCACATTATTCTTGTGAGCAAATTTGGCTTCATTGTGTTATTCGTTTTCTTTCAAAGTTGCATTAGAGAGACAAGATTCTTTTATCAAATTGAGAATAATTCAACAAGTAATAGAAGTTAGAAACTTGATGCACAAAAAGTTAAAGAATTATATTCTTCTGAGCATTGACAACTCTATTGCTTAATTTTGAATGACTTTAGTGAAGATTATTGGAGAAGTGGAGCATCTCTGTGTATATGAAATCATGCATGTATATCAGTTGATGATGGCTTCATGAAGGAGGGGATGATGAAGTTATTGACGCCGAGGTGGATGAAAAAGGAGGGACCCAAAGAGAATGTCTAAGAAAGTGTTTAAAATATCTCATTAGGGATCATAGAGAAGGCTCTTGGGTTCTTAGGGTATGGAGGCCATCTCTTTTTCTTGGTTAGCTGATGAGGAGGCTTTTCAGTTGAAATTTGTGAATCTTGTGCCCAGAAATTGAAGGTTCTGCCATGCCCATTGTTAACTTACGTGTCCTAAAATGATAGATGGATTTCTAGGTTATTGAATGGTTCATGTTGAGTGGTTGGAGGACTGAGATTCTTGTGCATAAAGGGAAAGACCTTGATACTCAAGAATTTTTTTCTTGCCAATGGGCTTTTTCACTTTTTCAATATTTTAAGTATTTCAACCGCACATTGGGAAGTGTTTCATCAATGTAAGGAAGAAGGAACTTGAAAGATAATAATTTTAATCTATGAAATGCATAACCTTAAGAAGCCTATAGGTTATGGAGGAAAAGTGGGTAATCCAGAGTGCCCTAGTGTTGTGTAACTTTCCCTTGGATATCTTAGATTGCCCTCGTTTTCTCCCTCTGAATTGCCAGCGCTTCTTCATGGGAATTCATGAACAATATGTGACCACATTGTGAAGTTCTTTTCATCTAAGAACACATTGTCTATGTATATCATTCTTTTCCCATTAAAAGAAAGCACTCTGCAATTATTTTACTTATTCTATGGTTATTTTATGTAATGAATGATCCATGATGACATATCTCCATTCCAATACTGGATGAAAGGAAGTTGTAAGTGGAAGAAATCATATATGAAATTGGATAGGACACATTCATAAGCTATATATGTGATTTTAGACACCTCTAAGCTGACATCCCCTTCACAGTTTTGGGCTCATTCTGCCACACATAGTCAGTAATGCTCCCCTGGACAGTCTCTTGGGCCTTCTATAAACTTCTTGCTGCTATCATGTAAGTTTCTTTAACTCAAGTTCCATAGGACTTGAACCTTAACAAGACATCCCTTTATCCTTATTGCTTCGAAACAAGGAGGTTTAGAAGTAATGTGGGTTCTGTCAAAGATATTATGTGGTTTTGATGCTGATTTTGAGCTAAGCTAGTGGAATTTAAGGCGTTCTCTCATCATATTAGTGTTTTGAGATTCTAGAAGGAACAGGTAGAGGGGCTTGTGGCCTAGGTGGGACTAATGACATGTGCTTCAGAATTGCTTCTAACTATTGGAATGCCAATCAAGATTTTGAGGTATCATGTTTTAAGGTGAAATGGATTTACATCTAGAGTTAGGCTGCTTAACAAGGTTGATACCACCTCTTAAAGTCTCATTAGGTTGAAGACAGGTGGTTGTTAGTGCTACATGCAGCCTTAGGGTGGAGGGCGTGACCTGGGAGGAAACCCAGGTTTAGTTGCAACAGACTTGGGCAATAGCATGGAAAACCAAGTATAGGTTTATTCCCCATTCCACTTTAAAAGTTATTCTCTGGGTGTACCGAATCCTAAGCGATCTAGGTGAGAATGTGCATGCTGGTTGCAACTTGTATAAACTGAGAGCCGTCTCAAATGATGACTGAGTGGACCTTGTGCAAAATCTCTAATTTATTTATTACAATGTGGTTTAACCGTAAAAGCAACTCTATGTATGACAAATATGGCTATTGTGGTTTAAGGCTTTCTTGGAATTCAATGTCAATGCCAATTATATAAGAATCCGGGACAAGTAAA